AATTATGCTAGAAGTATCAAAGAAAAAAGCTCCTAATAGTAAAAATAATTGGTGATGAAATAAAAATGTGGAGAAAAAAAAATGAGGATTTGTTATAAAAATTAATTTAGATATAAAAACTCTGATAATTGAGAAAAATATAAAGAGACATGTAAGCAGTCTAAGAAAGTAATATACGACGCAAAAAATTTAGCTTTTAATGATTTATAATAGATTAGATATTAATACATGCAATAAATATATGTATAAGTTAGTCAAACAAAGAAATATAAGTAGTAAGGATTTTGTTCAAGTGAAATGAATTAAGTATGAAAATCAAAAAGTGCATTTATTGGAAGAGGATAATCAACAAAGGTGGATGAGATATTTTGCTAAACTTTTCAATAAAGATTGTGAGAATACAATTAGCTTCAGTGACCTTAGCATACTAAATGAAAATAAAAATTTTTATTTTTATCAGCGTATTAGTAAAATTAAGAAAAATGAAGTGTAGAAAAGTTGTTGAATAATCAATAAGATTGCACGAATTATAGAGGAATTAAGTTAATGTGTCATATTTTAAAACTATGGGAGAGAGTTGTGGAGCATAGGTTACAACATGATACTAATGTTTCTCAAAATCAATTTGGATTCATGCCAAATAGGTCTATTATGGAAGTTATAAATTTATTGAGAGATTTGATAGAGAAGTATAGAGAGAAAAAGGAGAATCTTTGTAAGATATTCATTAATTTAGAGAAAGTATATGATAAAGATCCAAAAGAAGTGCTATGGAGAGTTCTAGAAAATAAAGGGTTAATAATACTTATATTCAAGTCATTAAGGATATGTATGTAGGAGTTGTTACTTGTGTTTAAACACAAGGTGGTTTGACCAAGTTTTTTTTCCATTATGTTGGATTACATCAAGGATCAACCTTAAGCCCATACTTTTTTGCTTTAGTCATGGATGTTCTCACTAAACATTTGCAAGAGGTTGTACCCTGGAGTATGCTTTTTGTTGATGATATTTTTTTATATTGATAAGAATGTAGATAGAGTTAAAGGTAAACTTGAATTATGGAGGTCAACCTCAAAGTCTGAAGGATTTCGTTTGATTAGATTTAAAACTGAATATAGGGAGTGTAATTTTAGTAATAATGGATTTAATGGGGGATTATGATCTTACGCAATCGAGTCATTAATAAGCTATTGTTCAGAGTAATGGTGAAATAGATAGGGATATTATTAGCAGAATTCAAGTTGGATGATTGAAGTGGAGGAATGCATTAGGCTTGTTGTGTCATAGAAAAGTCCCCGTCGAACTTAAGGAAAAATTCTATAAGATGGTGGTGAGACCTACAATGCTTTATGGTGCAAAATGTTGGTCGTTAAAAGAGAAGTATAATATTAAGTTAAGCATTGTAGAGATGAGGATGCTCAAGTTGATGAGTGGCTTTACTCTTAGAGACAAGATACAAAATGAGCATATACATGAAATGGTTGGAGTAGCTCTAGTGGAGGATAAAATTAGAGAGAGTTGCCTTAGATGGTTTGGTCACATAAAACAGCAGCCTTCTGATGACCCTATTCGGAAAGTAGATGTATAAGATTTAGCTTATATTAAGAAAGATAGAGATAGACTTAAAAAGACTTAGTTAGAAAATATTAGAAATAACCTTTCTTTATTAGAATTAAATGAGAATTTGACTATTAATAGGACACAATGAAGAAAAAGGATTCATATAGAGGCTTGTTGTTGTTGTTATAGTTCTTGTTGTTGTTGAATGCATCATATATTTCTGATTAATTAAAAAAGAAAGAGCAACATCAATTCAAAGCCCACCCCATCTTAAGTGTTGCTATTCAATTAAAATATAGGTGACATTTATGAGAGAGAAAAAAGATATTTTGATGAATTTAATAAAAACATTCAACATTTTTAGAATTTACAAGGATGGGTCATTAAAGCAAAATAAAATACTTCAGGTGGGAAGAATGCAAACAAATGTTTCACCAAAATTTTTAGCGTTTTAAATAAATGCAAAACATGGATATGACAAATCAACAATCACAAATGCATAATAGATTATTTTCTAAGAAAAAAAATATCAACAACCGAATTTTTAAAACAGTTGAATTGTTTCTGTTCGTAGCTATTTAACAATCTATTTTAGGTTTTGAACAAAAATTTAAATGTTCAAGTTATAAACACAAGAATCAAGCGATGCTAACACCATATGAAATAAAAATTGATTTATTTTGAAGAGAATTTGATGTAGGCAAAGGGGGGGCAATTGATGTGCCTTGGCTTTGGGCTGACTTGATTCCTTGGTTTGGGCTTGGTTGTTCGGGTTTTGCTGCTTTGTTGGGGAGCTGCTATGTTTTCAACTAATTATTGTTGAGTTGCTGCCTTTATCAACTCATAAATGCTGCTATCCAGATTCTCCCACCCCCCTCTTTTTGGCCTTTTGGTTCCCTGCCTGGGCGGTTCCTTCCCCTTGGCATTGGCTGCTTGTTGGTTGTGTCCAGCAGGCCATTCGGTTGCTGCTCCTGGCATTGCTTGTTGGCCTTTTGTCTCCCTTTTTTCTGGTTGGTTCAGCAGTGACTGTTTGGGCTATATAGCTTCCTCTTTTCACCTATAAATATAGGTTGTTTTGGACTGTTTGGCTCCCTCTCCTCTCCTATATATAGGGGTTGTTTTGGAGTAGAAAAAAGAGTATGTTATGGAGTAATTTTTGGACAGCAAAATCTGAGGATTTTTTGGATAGCTTGCGAGCTATGCCTCTTCGTCTTCTCCTTCTTCTATGACTTCGTCTCAGGCTTCTTATCTATTTCTTCTCTCCGCAAATGACCACCTCATTTGTATCTTTCTTCTCAATCAAGGAAAAGCTTCTTTAGGTGTTTTTATGTTCTATTATAAGATTTAAGTTGTGTCATGCGATGTTTCAAAGTTTAAGTGTTGTTGTGTCTTAATTATTGTATTACTTTTTCTTCTTTTTAAAGAAAGACGCTTATCTGTTTGCAATCTTAGGGTTTTCCTAAATTTTTTTACATCAATTTTGTATTAGAGCCTAGGTTTTTCGTGTCTTCCTCTTTTTTTTTAAGTATTTAGAAAAATGGAAAAACATGATGTAATTGAGCCTGAGATTGGAGAAAGTAAGCCAAATGTTCTTGAACAAGATATTCCTATGAGTTGATGGATTCCGCCACAATGAAGTTCTACTGATCTGATTCAAAATGAATTATACAAGCTTCAGATGAAGATGCACTAGTTTACGGAAAAATACGAGAAGAAAAATAATTTCTTCAGGCCAAATTCAAGCAAGAAAGAGAAATGATCCTGAGGAAGTATGCTGCCTTGATTCAAGATTTGAATGTGGCGCCTTCGGCTCGTTAGGAAAGTGCTAAAGTATTCTCTCATCAGGAGATGAGTCCTTTCAACCGGAGAAGAATTTGAAGTATGCAAGGGGGAGGGGGGTTGATGTGCCTTAGCTTTGGGCTGACTTGATTCCTTGGTTTGGGCTAGGCTGTTCGGGTTTTGATGCTTTGTTGGGGTTGCTGCCTTTATTAGGTCATAAATGTTGTTGTCCAAATTCTCCCCCCCCCCACCCCTCTTTTTGGCCTTTCGGTTCCCCACCTGGGCGGTTCCTTCCCCGTGGCGTTGGCTGCTCGTTGGCTGTGTGCAGCAGGCTATTCGGCTGTTGCTCCTGGTGTTGTCTGTTGGCCTTTTGCCTCACTTTTTCTAGTTGGTTCGGCAATGGCTGTTTGGGTTGTTTGGCTTCCTCTTTTCACCTATAAATATAGATTGTTTTGGACTAATTGGCTCCCTCTCCTCTCTTATATATAGGGGTTGTTTTGGAGTAGAAAAAAAAGTATGTTATGAAGTAATTTTTGAATAGCAAAGCCTGAGGGCTTTTTGGATAGCTTCCGAGCTATGCCTCTTCGTCTTCTCCTTTTTCTATGACTTCGTCTCAAGCTTCTTATCTATTTCTTCTCTCCGCAAGTGATCACCCTATTTGTATCTTTATTCTCAATCAAGGAAAAGCTTCTTTAGGTGTTTTTTATGTTCTATTATAAGATTTAAGTTGTTTCATGCGATGTTTCAAAGTTTAAGTATTGTTGTGTCTTAATTATTGTATTATTTTTCTTATTTTTAAAGGAAGACGCTTATCTGTTTGCAATCTTAGGATTTTCCTAAATTTTGATTGCATCAGAATTTCAAATTGATTACTTGTTTTGGACATCAAATGGAGAGTGCAAATTACGTTTTGACACTCAAAGTAGTATTTCAACTAGTTATGTACTATCGAATGAAGAACAAATATATTAATGTGGAGAAATAGTTTTCCATACCATTGGCCCTAAATTTAGAGAAGTTATTGATAAACCTCCCCGTAATGAGATCAAATTTTTATGGTTTATTACATCCAGCTCAACAATGATTATGACATAGTTGTATTAATCAATGCGAGTTATTGGTCATATGAAGAATGCTCGGTACCAAAATAGATTTGGCATAAATATTTCAATCAGTTTTTGGATTGCTAAAATAGATTAATCCAATAGATAATTTAAATGTATAAAACATAGACTATTGCACTAATGATTGTAATGTGTCATTAACATTGAATGTAGATATTGTAAAGCACTTGGGTACAAATCACAAATTGAAAAATAATGTAAGAAAAAGGACATGCCATATAAGAGGTCATTTTATTTGTTTCTTATTCAATGACTAAAAAGATTATTTGCATCTATAAGTTATTTTGGACATATGAGATGGCATCATGAGAGATTATATAAAAGCATATTGAGTGATCCATCAAAAATTAAGGCAAGAAGACTAAAAATTAAACTCGTGATACCTTTAAATAGTAATATTATAGATAGAACTGGAAACAAAAAACTCTTGAGGCATGAACTAGAAGTAAAAAAAGTGAAGTTACTATGAAAAACAAAAACTAGAAGTCAAAATAAAAAACTCAAATGTAGAGCTCTAACGCAGTTTTTTAAAACTACCCCTGCCATTATTGGAGCAACTTCTTTTTCCATCACTTCTCGAACTTTTTTCTGCAAGGACCGCTCCTCAAAATTTAGCAGATCATCAAACTGATAATAATCGGATACTGTAAAATGAAAACCTTATTCTGTCAACATTGAGGAAAATAGCAATGGAGTCATCTTTTTAATGTTTATTTCTCTGAATCATCAGATAAGATAATTAAATCAACTAAAACATTGCAACATTACAATCATCAGACCGTGCAGTCACCATCTTACATCATTATCATCAAGTAATTGACCCCAGGTTATCATGATTCGTGAATATTTAAAATAGTATGCCTAAAGAAAGATGAAACTGTGAGGTACTTCCATAAATCTTCAGACATACCCATGGCAGGAAATATTTTTGCTGGGGTTGCCTGAGGGAATGCAGCAGAGATCTCCAAAGCAGGCAATCCAACGGTTGAATCCATAATTGCTTTTGTATCATCACCTAAGATGTGAATTATTTGACAACAATCATAGCTTGAATATTCCAAAACAGAAAAATAAAGGCTTTTTCGAGAAAAATTATACAATATCAAGAGTTTCTTTTCATATCCACTTATAATGTCATTGTATGTAGGACCATGTGGTAGACAAATATGCAGTATCAACAACAGCGTACTGTGACTAAGGCTTCATTTGGGATGGCTTTTTTACTGTTTCTTAAAACAGCTTTCTAGTACAAATATTTTAATTTTTGTAGTAAAAAGCTGCTTTAATAAGCATTAAAAAAGCCGTCCCAAACCAAACCTAAATTTTTAAGAATTCAGAACTATCACTTATACCAGTTAATGAATTAAATTGTTTTGGGAAATGCCAGCAACCAATTGTAAGTGACCAATTACACTCAATCAATTTATTTCATTAATTAGTAAACCTGAATGAGAGGGACAACCCAAGCATAAACATGGTTTTAATTAACAGCAAATCTCCGAGCACTGTTCTCATAACTCCATCATATGGTCATTTTAACCCTTCCTTACAAGGAGACATATTTACCATCTTCGGCAAATACGGCTGGTCTTGTAAAATAAATGGATATGCAGGAAAAGTTTTTTGCAGTTTTATAAAGCCAAAGCACTTTTAAGCTAAATTTCTCCCGACTAGGTTAATCCAGATGATCGAAGAGTAGAAGAGCATTCGCTGAAGAATTATCAAAAGGAAACAAACTTGAAAAAAGCATTAACCTTGCTTCTGAGAAGTGGCAGCAGCCATGGCACACAACGACGAAATGACTGGATTGAAGCCGACTTTTCCCAAAAAAAAAAAGAAGCTCGGAAATTGCTTGAGGGAGGTCCACAGAAATGTAGAAAGCAAGACAAATAGAAGGTAACCAAGAAATTCAAGACAAAAATTGGGCAAGTCGAGCCAAGAAAAAAGTCAAAAACCATCTGAATTCTGACTGGATAACGCTGCCACCAGCGTCCAGCGCGATGGAATGGACCCATATTTGCATTATTTTAATATTATTATTATTAGTTTAAACTTTTATTACTAGAGGAGTTAAATACGTATCACATTACCCTTCTTAAAGCTTGCTCAGGAGGCACAAATAGAAATTTTTATTTGGTGCGTACGATTACCGTGCGTCCCAATGACCCAACCGAGATCGGAAGTGAAAATTTAAAAGAAACTGAAAAGAAATCGACAGGCCACTTTCCAAAATTCGAAATCGAGCCTTTTCAATTTCTTTGGTGTTATTCATCGTCATTCGAAGCTTCTTTGGTCACCACGCCTAAGATCAATATTTTGTTGCGATGATAAAACTATTTTGTATGGTGGGATATGTGGGATCTATTTTCCTGTTAAAAAACTATGAAAACAAAATGTTTCGATTTAGGGTTTGGTTTGGAACTTTTAATGCCTGGCGTAAAAACATTTTCTCGCATATTCTATTAGAAAATATATGTTGGAAATATAATTGTTGCAGGCTAGAATATACGCGGCGGTAGAGTTTGGAATTTTACGTCCGAGCGTTGTACGAATATTCATCACACAAACATAAAAGGAAAATAACACCATGATTTTTACGTAGAAAATCCGAAAGAGGGAAAAACCACGGGGCCATGCCCAGTTGAAGTAATTCCACTAGTGTTTGTTTGAAGTACATATGCTGATTCGTCCCATAAGTTAGGACGATCATATTACAAAGAGTTTCTCCTGAATTGAAATTCAGTTACAAAGTTATGCAGAATTCTGGCGTCTCCCGAATATCAGGCAGAATTCCGGCGTATTCAGGCGGCGGAAAGAACTCCGGCGGTGGTCAAGGAGGAGCTGATTCTCCTCCTCTTCTTCTTCTCTTCTCTTCTTTTCTCTCTTGCTTGAGTTCCTTCTTATGGAGAATGAGGGCTCTATTTATAGTTTTTCTGGAGTGGCATGGCTTGTAAATAGGCGCGAGATCAGGGGCAAATAGGGAGTGGTTGAATCAACGGCCGATATTGAACCCTTCGATCGTGCGTCGTTTGTTGGACATTTGAAGGCTTTAATGATGTCGGAATTTGGCGATCTTGGGCTCGTTGGATTCGTCTCGTCGAGCTGATCGATTGGACTATAAGCTCGTCAAAATCAGAGACCGTTTGGCAACTCAATTTGTGGTACGAACTTTATAAAAGAGCTTCGGTTGCTCGATTTGGGCTGATTTGGGCTCAGATTGAGTTGAATTTGGTGTCGTTGGGTTCGTATTTCCAAGACGATAAGTTCAAGTATAAGTTTGCTGAAATCGGATTTCAGATGATCCCAAACTTAATTTTTGAAGTTTCCGGCTAGTTTTTTGCCTCGAGATTCATGACCGATCAAGATAATTTTATGATGATGTATCAATGATTATTAAGTGCAGTACCATGTACCATTGTTCGGTATATAGTTATATAGATGTTTCAAATATTGTTAACCATTCTGAAAGACGTGTATTATGGATTATTTGTGATTTTTATAATATAAAATAAATGTTTATATCAAATGAAATCTCATGTACCTATGGTTGGTACCTCTCGGTATGAAAACTCAGAACCGATCGGTACCACTCGGCACCGAGTGGTTGCGGTAGGTACCACGCTCAGTACCATGATGTAGAGCAGTACCTTTAGGTTATCAAGTTTTGAAGTTGTTTATAACCAAACTCAGTAACGATATATGGTATTGATTGGTACCTCTAGGTACAATGCTCAGTAATACACTCATTTCCGTGATTGATAGGTACTTATATGTTACGAAGATTGGAACTTTATGGTATCCAAACTAGCATGTCGATCGGCACTGCTCGGTACTCCTCGGTACTTCTCGGTACTATTTGGTATCGTTTGGTAACATTCTTAATACATTGATAGCTCTGTTCCTTAAGGTTCATAAGTTTAGAACTTGTCGGTACCACTCAGCACCGCTGCTTGGTACTACTCGGTACCGACTATGCCTCACTCTTTTCTTAATTTTGTTAACTTATTATCGTTTCTAAGTTTATAGGGATATTCTCTAAAGATTTATTTATGATGCAGAACTTCAACTTTTAGAGAAGTTTGTAATCATTTGGTTACTACATTTCGACAAAAATTTGTTGATAGACTCAGGCAGCTCAACATTAATCAATTATTGGTTTTGCCTTCTTTACGTCAGATTGTTCCCCTAGTGCATATGCTGCTGACCAAGTGGGAGATCTAGAAGGAGTGTTTTGTTATCAAATGATGGAGGCTACAATTCATTTCATATGAGAATTCTCTTATGCTTGGACTGCCCAACATAGGTGTAAATTTATTCTGGGAAGTGTTATAATAAGTGGCAAAACAGCAAATGATGTTATGTATGAGATTAAAAGTTTGAATGTTTCCAATCCATTAAAAAATCTTGTGAAAGAATTCATAATTGACTTACTATCAACCATTTTCTTTCTCATGACCAACATTCGGATACCTACTACAATCCTTAATGTTGTTGAGAATGTGGATGAATTTTTAACTTACAACTAGTCAGCATCTATTAGAAAATTCCTAGTGACGGAATTTAATGGCATTGTGAGGAAGAATTCCAAAGGCACTCCACTAGATTATAATAATGGATTTTTAATCATTATAATTATGAGTCAATAATTCATGTCGATTAAGTTTGTTACTATAAAACCTCATTTAATTTAGTAGGCTAACATAATTTTGCTCAATATTTACATATTTGATTTTTAGAGCATACAAAGATTCCAAACACCAGTGGATGACCTATCCCGACCCCGATTTGTTCATTGGGATAGCCACATTATGTATAGTGAGAAAGGTGACCAATTTATTTGTTGATCTTGACGATGCTCGTGTACTGATTAAAGATGTACTAATATTCATTTCGTATGGAGCTCGACCTGATTAATAATATTCTATAGATAGTCCATCATTTCAAAGGAGTTATAAAAGAGGAGAGAACATTATTAGAGAATTCTCCCATTCTTTCTCTAGAAAGAACTACATGTCCACCTGACAAGCAACTCAAAATTCAACTCATTCGCCACTCTAGCCCCGAAATCACCCCTAGGGCCCCTAGTCCTGCCAGCTCCACTAAGATTCCCAGCCCCGCCAACCTGTAACACCCCCTCCTAGAAAGAATCATCCAATGTTGTTGTTTCAAAAGATGCTAATTGGTAGAGCCTACACCAATCCATCACTAAAGTGATCGCATAAAACAACTTACTCATGAAAAACCTTGCCAAGGTTAAATCCACATTCGTTCTGCTACAAAGGCATGTGCAGGCTCTGAAACAATTAGTTTTTGAGCTAAAAGAAGAAAAAATATTTGAAATATGAAGCTATAGAGAAGTTTTTGGTAGACCACTTCCCTGCTGCATTTAAATGTTATCAAACTTGAAGGCATGCATAATCTTCTTCAAGGACCATTACAGGAGATAGTATTATTACCCCGTCAGCTGCCCTAATTTTTTAGGAAGTCACATAGCCAAAAAATGCGGCAGAAGCCTAGGAAAAGGTTAATATTAGTGAAAAAGCAACAAGTAGAACTAATGAAAAGGAAGAGGGCTTTGCTTCATCATCCCATGCTAGAATAGTAAGATGGGTGCAGCGAAGGAATGATAGGGAGAGAAAACTGGTGGAGACTGCATTCACCACTGGTGAGTGAAAGGGTAAAAAAATCAAACTTATAGTGAAGAAGCATATGACACTTGATGGAAAGGTGGATGCTAGTAAGATTGTAGAAAAGGAAGGTCATATAAGCAAGGTAAAAGGTCAACTAGATAAAATAAATTAATTAATTAGGAAGTGGCAGACAGAAATTGAAGAGAAATATCTTACTGCTGCTACTAACATTCTTGAGGTAGATGGTGAATATAAAATAGAATCACGACCAGCACCGATTATACTTGATTTCCTAGGTCAGTTATTACTAAATGAAGAAAATCCCATCTTTATCGGCACCTATCTGAAATAATATAATGATAAGTAAGTTCCATTTGTTATTTTATAATGATTATTATTTTAACTAGTTAATAGGGAGTGGTACTGAGTAGTATCGAGCTTGTACCTAACATATACTGAGCACTATTGACAGGTACCCCCCATATATTTTGTAGTAACATCTTGTACCGAGCAGTACCGAGTATTACATAAATGCTTGGTACTACTTTGTATATGCTTAGTAATGCTTGGTATCGAATGTTACCCAGTTGTGCAAACAGACCCTTGTCGTGTATTTATTTTCACCAATGACCATTTTTGGAATTTTCCAGGAATGACATTATTTTTATGGCAGGGAATACTGTTATTTATAGAAGTCAAATTGTCGAGACTATAACGTTAGAGTACCTTAATAACAACCACGACGATGCATTTGATATTCTACTAGCTGGGAAGAATCAGTTATGCCCTGGCCTCTGCTAGCCATTCCTACTTGTTTCTAGCTTATATTGGGTTAGTTAGTAATTTATAATGTTGTTATGTTTTTTTTTCTAAGTTAATTTCTTTTATCATTATGCCATGTATATTATTTATATAAGGCGGACATCACAATATAAGTCTCCCATATCACCAAAGAGTTAGTTAGGGCTACCAATCTAAGGCTTATCCCTATCATACTCAACTCTCATTGGGCCCTCATAGTTGACAACCTGAAGAAGAAAGTGTAAAATTTTTATGATTAATTACCAAAAAAGACTCACAGAGCCATACTTCTTGAAGTTGTAAGTGACACTCACTCATTAATACTACATTATACATAAATTCTTATATAATGTATTGAATTTCATTTATTGATATCTCATATTTATGAAGAAACACAAAATTCTTTTGATCATGACATATACCCATGGCCGATCCAA